TCTCCTTCAAACAACTTCATTCATCGCTACCGGCGGGCGTGATCAACATCGGTGCCGTCATTGGCCTTGCCGTCGTCATCGCCACTATCGTCAACATAACCGCTACTTTCATTATCGCGTCTACCGACCGTTGTCGGCGTCGCCATGATGCCGCGCCCGCCCAAGCCACCGACTCGCACTGAAGTGCTCGCTGGGAAGTGCCCAGCGGTCAGCGCCACCGCGGCCGCGTCGGTCTCGCCAAAGTAGCTGGCCGCTGCGCGCGCGAGCATGCGCGGGCTAGCGCGGCCGCAAAGATGCACCAGCCAACGCCAAACACTCATCGCAATCACCGCCGCATTGGTTTTGCAAACCAATTTGCGGGTGGGTGGGTGATGCTAGCAAGGGCGTGGAATGTGTAAACATTTTGTAGACATCAATTGCACCACATAGCTTGCAGCCGCGTGGTTCACACTTCACAGACGGAAGAGGAGGAGGAGGAGTAGGAGTAGGAGTAGAAGGACAACGAGGACGAAGGCAGAGCCCTCAACATCGCCTCTTGGAACGCTTTCGGGGCTCTTTTGGAGGCTCTTGGGCTCCTCTTGGGGCTTTTTGTTGGGGGTCTTGGGGCCCTCTTGGAGCCCTCTTGGGGGTCCCCTGGGACCAGGAACCTCTTGGGGCCATCTGTGAGGGGTTCCTCGATTTGCGTCCCCCTGGGCTATCAACGTTGCCTCTTGGGCCCCTCTTGGGGCCGTCTTGGAGGCCTCGTGGGTCCCTCTTGGGCCTCTCTGGGGCCATCTTGAGACCCCATAACCGTATCGGAAGCGAAATCGCGAGAAGTCTGCAATCATGTTCGTTCCTTAGGTTCTGAAGGACTTTGGCTTTTTCGGGGGTCCCCAGGGGGTGCTTCGAGGGCAGTTGGAACCGTCTTGTGGCCCTCGTCGGGCCTCGTGGAGGTATGTCGGAAGCTATATTGAACCACCGTCGGCTAGCTTGAGCCATCTTGGAGGCCATCTTGGAGCATCGGACGCCCTCTTGGAGTCACCTTGGGCCATCCTGGGCGCCCAGACACCTAGCGGCCCGCCTCAGAACACCTCAGGGAGGGGAGGGCGAGGCTAACCCTCCCCGAAGGGAAGAGGGTTTGGGAAGAGGGAAAACAGATGTCGCTAGACCACCTTAGTCCAACGGGCTCGTGCGATCATACATGAGTATGCCTCGTTTCGGGTGTTCCATATGAGTTCATACTGACCCAGGGCGACCGGCATCGTACTCCCCTTCGCCCTTGCCAAATAATGCTATGCGCGCACTCTTGTTGATCTCAAGAGGTCATGTTTCACGAAACCCTTAAATTGTGCACAAAGTCCACGCGCGCACATGCCGAAATCATACCAAGCACAAGTTCAGCAAGACTTGCAACATACAACCATCAAACACCCTTACGTTTGCATACTGAATCTTGCAGATTCTCTGCCCGCGCGCATTTACCGAACTCATAGGGAACCATATGGTTTTAGCAATCTCGTCCACAATCCGAGTTCTCAGCTCACCACCACGCGGTGCACCCGCGTTGATCCAGCATGCGCACTGCGCATGAACCCGTGTCAACTGATACCATGCTGGCCACGCGCGCGCGTTGCCACGCGCGCGTGTCGAGTTTTTTACTATCCATTAGTCTTCGATGCATGTCAACGTAGACCTATTGACTTACATATAACAACCACGCGTATGTCTTGCATTTTCGCTCGCGCGCACTTTCTCACCATCACCCATCACCCTCGTCAGCGCTGCTGCATCACGGCATCGGCATCGGCAGTCGCCTCCATGGTCGCCATCATCATTCACTCATTTTTATCACCGACATATTATCATCATCATCATCATCATCGTCATCGTCGCCACCAGCAGTAATGCCGTCATTGGCCCTGTCGTCGTCATCGTCACCTTTTCCACCACCTTCGCTACTACCATTATCGTTGCCGCCTTTGTCGACGTCAGCATCCTACCGCGCCCGCGCGGGTCATCGACCGGCACTGAAGTGTCCGCGCGCCAGCGCGGCCTTTTGATACGCGCTGGGAAATTCCCATCGGTTTGCGCCATCGCGGCCGCATCGGCTCTGCCGAACCACTTGGCCGCTCTGCGCGCGAGTTTGCGCGCGCCAGCGCCGCCGCAGAGATGCGCCAGCGTAGTCACCGCAATTGCATCTGCATGGCTTGTGCAAAAAAAGGTTGTGGGTCGGAGGGTTGGATAATTGCGCGAGCAGTGGAGTTGACGACTTCAAGTTCTGCAGGGTTGGCGACGTAACAGGGCTTACACATCCATAGCGCAATATCTCACTGTTCGGGGTCACGCTGGCAAACATGCAGGAATAACCTGGATTCTGCTATGTGTCGTGTGTTTCACGCCTCTCCGCGATCGTGCACCCCCTTCCCTCCCTGATCCTGTTCCTGCCTTTTCATTTCTACGCATGTTGAGGAGGAGGAGGACGAGGAAGAAGTGGCGAAGGAGGAGGAGGCCCTCGTTCTTCCTCTTTCCTGCCTTCCTCGTCCCTCCCTCCTTGTCTTCCCTGTCCCCCCCCGCTCTCTCCCCCTCCCCCTACTGCCTTCCTCCAACCTTCGTCCAAAAGGGAATCCCTTCGTGTAACCCTCTTCCTCTTCCTTCCTCCCTCCCACCATCCCTCCCTCTCTCCCTCCCTCCTCCTCCTCCTCCCTCCCCTCCTTCGCTCCTTCCCTCCCTCCCCCCCTTCCTCCCTTTCTCTGCTCCTTCTCCCTCTCCGCTCTCCGCCCTCCTGGTTCCGCTCCCTTCCTTGCACTTCCCACCCCCCTCTCTCTCTCTCCCCCTCCCCTTCCCCCATCCCCCTTGGAGGTCTCTGGGGGGCCCCGGAGGCCTCAAGGCTCTAGCCTCGAGGGCGGACCCCCGGTGGATCGACTTGCTGGATCCCTGTGTGCTTCTCCTCTGGTTGCTGCTTTCGCGTGCGGTGCCAAGGTGCCAAGGGGGCGAACCCGACTGGTCTGGCTGATGCTCTGGGCTGGGGGGGGGCGTGCTTACCAGCGGAGCCTGCAGCACCTCTCGGCGACGTGCGGTCGACCGAGCCTGCCGGGTGGGCCCTTGTCCACTTCTCTGTGCGCTTCAGCTCCGGCCTGGAGCTCATCCGTGGGCGAACCTTTTGCAGCGCCTTCGGGCCAGCTCGCCCGAGTCGGTTGTCCTTCTCCTCCTCTCCCTCCTCCTCCTTCTCTCCTCCTCCCTCCATCCCTCCCTCCCTCCCTGCCTCCTCTTCCTCCTCCTCCTCCTCCTCCTCTCCTCCCTCCTCGTTTTGACGTTGGCCAGTCTCGAAGCATGATGCTCGCAGCGTGCACGGGCACATGGTGCCAAGAAACAAACGCAATGTAGCGCAGTGCTGGACAGAGAAAGGCGAATTAGTTGGCAGGCCCGTGCGGTACAGGCTCCTCCTCCTCCTCCTCCTCCTCCTCCTCCTCCTCGCCAACTTGTGGGTGTCAGGAAAAACCGGGGGAACTCCTCCTCCTCGATCCGCCTCCTTGCATCAGCGGGTGGGGCCCTCTCCTCCAGCCCGCCCGATGGGTCCCCGCCTCCGCCGATATCCGCGGGGGACCGCAGGTTGTACAACCCGATCAGCAGGACAGCGTGAGGAGGTGGTGGGGGGCTCTTCGTGACGAGGGGGGGGGAACTAGATGAGGAGACCTAGCAGACAGCAAGGTACCCATAAGAGGAGGGAGGTAACTGGAGGATGGGAGTTAACTAGAGGAGGAGGCAGGTAGCTAGAGGAGCAGGGAGGTAGCTAAAGGGGAGGAGAGAGGTGACTCGAGGAGGAGGGAGACGGAGAGATACACAGGGGGTGGCGAGTGGCAGCGAGCATCAGGGAGACCATCCGCGCCAGTGGGTCGCGAGCGTGCTCATGCCTCTTAAGCTTTGAGGCGACGACAGGTGGATAGCTCAGGGTAGGCATTATACGCATTCGCCGGGGTGCCTCGCCGAAGGCATGGACCATCGTCGGCCTTTGATTCGCCCCTATCGTCTCTCTCGATGAACGCGTTCGCCCAGGCGGCGAAGTATGTCGAGGCAGATGGGCACCCTTACCTCTGAGGTATCTTGGTGGTTCCCTTTTTCTAGTTTCAGTGAACGTGAGAACCTTCTGTAGACCCAAGGCGCGTCAACAATGTTACAAGAACCCTTCCCTCGTCACTGTTCCCAACGAACAGATGTTTGATGATTGTGGGACGTGCCCCGTTGAAAGACAAGAGTCTGAGAATTCCTCATCGTACCAAAAATGCAGATCCTGGGACTTCACCGCCGCGAGTCAACGTGGCTGTTGCGTCCTGGCAGGGCTGAATCATGCCAGAACGCCGTTGCTGGGACTCGTCAACACCGGGAATCAGCGCGACTGCTGCGTCCTGCCCGCCCCGAGCCGTGCTAGAACACCGCTCCGGGGACTCCACTCGTGCGAGCCCCCAGGACGGCTGCAAGTTCTGCACGCGAGCGCGCGCGGCGCCACGGGGCGAGCGCCTGCCGGAGGGGGGCGGGGCGGGGGCCCGTCCCCGCGGAGCTCCCGGCGCCGCCGGCCTCGCCTCGTTGCAGGGCGCCAGAGGCCAGGCGGCCAGCTCGGATGGGCTCGGCTCCCCCCCCCCACACCACCAGTTGGAGGGGGAGGGGGTCCTCCTCCTCCTCCTCTTCCTCCTCCTCCTTCTCCTCCTCCTCCTCCTCCTCCTCCTCCTCCACCTCCTCCTCCTCCTCCTCCTCCTCCTCCTCCTCCTTCCCCCCTCCAACTTGTGGTGGTGGTGGTGGACAACAGGCCCATTAAGCTCGGCGGGGGCCTCGGGTTCCTCGACCGCGTAGGGTCGCGCGTGAGCGCCCGTGTCTCCAATGTAGCGTGCCGCGCTGGCGGCCCGCGTAAGTCGCCGCGGAAGGTCGCTGTGCCTTCTCGCGTAACATGCGTTTTTGTCGTCGTTCATGTGGCGCGCGTCATCAGCCTCCCTCGCGTCTAGCCAACTCGCGTCGTAACAATCCACTGGCAAGGTTCTGATGATAGCTCCTGTCCTCGTTGCTCTTGTCCTCTTCCTCACCCGCAGTATGACCTAGTCCTTAATGGGACGGGTGGTCGGCTATGATGGAGATCATCGTTGCACAGGAGGGTGGGAGGGAGAAATTGCTGGGGAATGTGCACGACAAATGACGTTAGCAGGCTGGACCGCTCCGAATTATCATTTTCCTCCTGGCTCCTTCGTCCTGACTCCATCCAGTGGGGCCTCCCCGCTGAGGAACTGCGTCGATTTCGCCGAGCACTTCGTGGTGGGCCTGCACACGACCGAGCCCTTCCCGGCGTGGGTGCACGGCCTCGCCAAAGGGTTGGCAAGGATCCAGAGGGCCGCCATGAAGCATAAGGGTCATGTGGGAAACGGGTCTTGGGTTGTTGTCGTCGTTTTCGGTCTCTCGGGGCCCCTCCCAGGCCCAAGAGAACGGCTCAGTCAGGATGCAGAGCAGGTCCTTGGGGAAGGCCCTGGGGTTTAGGATTATGTCGGGCGTGTCTCCCTACAGGGGGATTTTCGACGAAAAATAAACAATACCGTACAAATACCCCAACAAGGTCAACAACTATGCAAAACATAGTTCCCAGACTATTGTTGGACTATATGTTTATATCTATATATATATATATCGATAATTTTTCTGCGATAATCCCACTGTAGGCCTGGCGGGGGGGGGGCGGGAGGGAGGGAGAGGGAGAGGGAGGGGGAGTCATGCAGTTATGCGTTTATGTATCTATACATGCAGTCATTTCTGTGTGAGTGTATGTATGGGTGTATGCACGTATGTATGTACGTATGTATGTACGCGTGTATGCATATATACATCCATGTTTGTGTGTTTGTTTGTATGTATGTATGCATGCATGCATGCATGCATGTATGTATGTATGTGTGTATGTATGTATGTATGTATGTATGTATGTATGTATGTATGTATGTATGTATGTATGTATGTATGTATGTATGTATGTGCGTACGTATTTATGCATGCGTATATGTACGAATGCATGCATGAATGCACCTATACATGACCTTGTGCGTGTGCATGCATGTGTGTATGCATGCATGTGTGTATGCATGTAGGTAGGTAGACCAGTAGGTAGGTAGACAGGTAGTTCGATAGGTAGGTAGGCCGATCGGTATGTATACGTGTATGCATGTATGAATGCATACATGTGTGTATACGCATATATGGTTTACACACATGCATACACACCCAACTTCATGTACATCTATACATGCATGTGTGCATGTATGCGTGTAGGTACGTGCGTATGTACATGTGTATGTACGTCGTTATGTATGGTTACATCTGCGTACATGTGTATATAAGTGTATATATAAATATACATATTAATTGACATGCATGTATGTATGTATGCATGTATGTATGTATGTATGTATGTATGTATGTATGTATGTACGTATGTATGTATGTATGTATGTATGTATGTATGTATGTATGCATGTATGTATGTATGTAGAGAGAGAGAGAGAGAGAGAGAGATTCCCGCGCACGAGGCCCGGGGCCTGGGGGGCCTGGCCTCGACAGGGCATGGGAGGACCGGGGCCTCCGAGACCGCCCCCAGAGCACCCCGGAGCGGCCCTGGAGCCTCCAGACTGCCCCAGAGAGCTCCAAGACGCTCCCAGAAGCCCCGGGAGGACTTCGACAAGCCCCTCCAAGACAGCCCAGATAGCCCCAACGTGGCTCAAGATGGGCTCGATACGGCAAGTACATAGCCCAAGAGGCCTCCAAGAGGCCTCAAGAGAGCTCCGAGAGGCGTCCCGAGAGAGCCCGAAGAGGCCCAAATCTTTGATTGTCATTGTTTTTTGTTAGATGTTTTTCGTTTTCTCGCGTTTTCGAGCTTTCAACGCTCCAAGACGGCTGACGACGCCACCAAGACCGCCACAAGACCGCCGAAGGGGCCTCCAAAAGAGCCCCAAGACGGCCCCAGGGAGCCCGAAAACTGCCCAGCAGGAGCCCCAGACGGCCCAAGAGAACCCCAGGACAGGCCAAAGCTGGGCCACAGAGCGGGAGCGGGAGTCCCCAAGGCGCTCCAAGACGGCCCAGATGGTCCCAACGTGGCCCCAGATGGGCCCAACACAGCAAATACACAGCCCAAGAGGCCTCCAAGAGGCCCCAAGAAAGCTCCGAGAGGCGTCCCGAGCCCGAAGAGGCCCAAATCCTTGATTTTCCGTCGTTTTCTATGTTTTCCGCTTTCTCGCGTTCTCGAGCTCCCAACGCCCAAGACGGCCGAAGACGCCCCCAAGACCGCCCCAAGACCGCCGAAGAGGCCCCCAAAAGAGCCCCAAGACGGCCCCGGAGAGCCTGAAGACTGCCCAGGAGCAGCCCAAGACTGCCCAAGAGAATCCGAGGAGAGGCCCAAGATGGGCCCCAGAGCGGGAGCGGGAGGCCCCAAGGCGCTCCAAGACGGCCCAGATGATCCCAACGTGGCCCAAGATGAGCTCAAGACGGCAAACACACAGCCCAAGAGGCCTCCAAGCGGCCCCAAGAAAGCTCCGAGAGGCGTTCTGTTGCCATTTTGGCTCAAGTCATTTCTGGCTCAAGCATTACCGTGGGTGTTCTTTTTTGCTTTTTCCACGGTCTCTCGACTCTTGCTCCGGGCATGGCGTGCGGCACCTTTCATCCGCCCGCACGCGTTGCTGGAGGAGACGGTCAGCTGCCCCCAGTGCTCGAGACTCCGCGCGTGATGGCGGCCGACGCGGACGACGCATCGCCGCGGACGCACATCCTGCTCTCCAGGCCCATGCGCGACGAGGACCTCCTGCTCGCCACGCCCTTCGACGAGGACCTCCTGCTCGCCGAGCTGCCCGCGGCGGGCAGGGCGAGGCGGCCGCCCGCGGTCCTCCCGCGCGCAGCCCTGCGGCGCCCCCGGGGCCTGCCGTCCAGCGGGCTCCCGCCCGTGACGGCCGACGGCGCTTCGGCGACGCCGCGCTCCCGCTCGTGCGCGGGGGCGCGCGGGCAGCCGGGAGCCCACCTGCGCCCCGAGGCGCCGTGCCGCGGCGAGCCGGCGCACGGGGCGCGCCGCGCCTGGGCCGCCGGGGCGCCGCGCACGGCGTCCGGCCCCGAGCGAGCCCGCGGCGACGGCCCGCCCGCGCGGCCCGCGTCGTTTTTTGACGGTCCCGAGGGCCGGTGATGGCCCCCAGGGGCTGAAAATAGCGAGAAACCTCCGTCGTGATTCTCTCTCGACGCGAGGGGGTCTGGGGAGCTCGCGCGTAGCGTGTTGGAGCAGCTGAGCTCTGGAGTGGTGCCCCTCTCGCTCTCCCCCTGGGCCCCGAGTGGCAGTCCACAGGGTCGCATCTCTCTCCTCCCGCCCCGAGGAGGAGGAGGAGGAGGAGGAGGAGGAGGAGGAGGAGGAGGAGGAGGAGGAGGAGGTGTGAAGGAGGCGGGGGAGGAGGAGGAGGTGGAGGTGTGGAGGAGGCGGGGGAGGAGTCCACAGGGTCGCATCTCTCCTTCCGCCCCGCACCGCGGCTCGGGCCATCTGCGCTCGGGCCTGCGCCGCACCGTACAGGGGCGCGCGCGCGCTTGGGCACCGCGCTTGGGCACCATATGCAATTTTCTGCGGCCGGCGCACGGGCAGCAGTCGTCCTGCCTGGCCGTCGGCTGCGCTAGCCAGGGAGACGGGTCGACATCCCCCGCTGGCTGCGCGGTGCCTGGGCACCATATGCAATCATCTGCGGGCGGCGCACCGGCAGCAGTCGCCCTGCCTGGGCGGCATGCAGCCCGTGCTGGCCCGTGCAGGCTTGGCCCCGTCAGGAGCCACGCCAGCGAATTCTCCGGCCCGGGAGGCATGGGCCAGTTCTTTTCCACCAGCTAAAGGACTGGGCCCCCGGAAACTCCGTCGGTTTGTGTACGTCCGTTCGCTGCGATTTAAGAACGTAATTTGTCAGTTTTCCAAGAAGTCCCTTTCTTCTGCATGTGATCCCCGCAATATGCGATCGGTTTCCAGCCTATTCAGAGAAAGAAAAGAGAAGAAAGCTCCGAGAGGCGTCCCGAGAGAGCCCGAAGAGGCCCAAATCTTTGATTTCCAGGCGTTTTTTGTTCGATAATTTCCGCTCTCTCGCGGGGACAGGCCCGACTGAAGTTTAGGACCCGCTTTCCCCGGGATGCGCTTCCTCCGCTCTGTGAGGGGTTGTCGTCGGCTCCGTCTTCGCTGTCGGTTGCGTTCGGTCGGCTCGCTGAAGTCGGCTGCTGCGTCGTCGCTGCGTCGCTTTGTCTTTCTGGGCTGTTCGCAGCCTGCCAGTTTCGGTTCGGCCATTCTTTGAGTGCGACTTCGCCTTGGGCGCCTGTGAGGAGGGAGGGGGGGAGGGAGGATAAGGGCGAAAAACACTGAAACCAGGAAGGTAATTATCACTTAACTCCGAAGTTAAGTGATTTTCTCATTTTGTATTGCTACCACCTTCACGACGACTTACCTCCGCAGTTAAGTCACTCTACGAGTGCTGCTTCCACCCGGCCGCAAAATCACTTAACTCCGGAGTTAGTTGATTCCGCGGGCCGCCCCTGCCCTTCATTCGGCCCGGGAAAAAGCGAAAAGGGAGGGTTGCAAAAGGGAAGGAAAAGGGTTGGAAAAAGGAAAGAAAAAGGGAAGGAAAAGGGAGGGAAAAGAGAGGGAAACAGGGAGGGAGAAGGGAGGGAAAAGACAGGGAACAAGGGAGGGAAAAGAGGTGGAAAAAGGAGGAAAAGGGAAGGAAAAGGGAGGGAGAAAGGAGGGAAAAGAAAGAGGACAAAATATGGAAAAAGGGATGGAACAACTTGTGGAAAAAGGCAAGGACAGGGGAGGAAAAGGGAGGGAAAAGGGGGAAACAGCGAGGGACATGAGAAGAAAAAGGGAGGGAAAAAAAAGGAAAGAAAAAGGGAGGGAACAGGAAAAGGGAAAAGGAAGGAAAAAGGAAGGATAGGGGGGGGGGGGGGGGGGTGGGGGGGGGGGGGGGGGGGGGGGGGGGGGGGGGGGGGGGGGGGTTTGGGTGGGGGGGGGGGGGGGGGGGGGTGGGGTGGGGGGGGGGGGGGGGGGGGGGGGGGGGGGGGGGGAGGGGAAGGAAAAGGGGGAAGGGGGATGGGGGGGGGTAGGGGGGGGGGGGGGGGGGGGGGGGGGGGGGGGGGGGGGGGGGGGGGGGGAAGGGAGGGAAACGGAAATGAAAAGGCAGGGAAAAGGGCGGGAAGGACAGGGGAGGAAATGGAAGGGAACCGATATGGAACAAGTAACGGGAAAGGGAGGGAAAAGGGAAGGAAGCGAAAATGGGAGGGAAAACGGTCGGGAAAGGAAGGAAAAGGAAGGGAAAACGGTAGGGAAAGGAAGG